GGTGGGCTTTTTCCTCAGTCAAGGTACATACTTCTTCTCATGTAGGTCCACAGGGCATAAATATGTCACATCTGGGTATCAGCTCTGGATGGATTTGTTCATATTGCAAATTGTGTGAGAGACACTCCCCATACCCAGATGGACCATATTAGTTCCACTGAAATCAGTGGAACTGAAAACACATGAAATGTGAGATATTGAAACATCCATACAATAAAAAGCACTTGAAAACAGCTGATTTCACAAGAATGGTGGTCAAGTCACCACTGAAGAAACACTTTCAGAAAATATGTTCTGTTGTACAGTATTTGGATATATTTGGATAGGAACATATATCCCTATATATATCAGACCATTGGTCCTTCTGGTTCAGTATTGTCTACAAAGACCACCAGCAGCTTTCCAGGGTTCCAGGCATGAGTCTTTTCCAGCTATACCTGAAGTTGCCAGGAATTGAACCTGGAACCTTCTGCATGCTCCACCACTGAGCTATGCCCTTCCCCTTACTGACTTATTTTGATGTGTTACTCATTTGCCAATTATTTTAGTGCTATGCTTTTACTCATGCTTGTTATGTGGTTTGAATGTTTGTTGTGCATTGCTCTGAGGAAGGGTGATAAACAGGGGCGTAGCATGGGGAGGTTCCGGGGCAATGGCCCCGGGTGCATTTTTAAGGGGGTGCTGCACATTTGGTTCCTTATGCTGCCCTGCGAGCTCTGCACTGCTTTGTGAGACTGGCATCTGATCTGAATGATTCGCCAGGCAAATGATTCAGATCAGATCCCAGCTTCACAAAGCAGCACTGGGCTTGCTGGGTGTGTGTGACAGAGAAGGATGCACCAGCCATGTTCCCTTCAATCCCAGCCTTGCGAAGTGAGAGGAAGGCTGGGATTGACGGGCGCATGGCTGGTGCATCCTCCTCACCCCACCCATGGGCATCTGAGGTCCCTGCTTGGCTCCAGTGTGGGGGTCACTCCAGCAGTGTTCACCCTCCACACCCCAACCCCCCTAGTGCATGCGTGCATCCACCCCGGCACTGGCAAACCACACTACACCACTGGCGATAAAATAAATAAAATAAAATAAAATAAAATTCTATATTGTTCTTCTCTCACAGCGTGGTATTCAACTAAGCTTTACTCAGACCATCCGAAATTGATAAACATGACCAAGGTAGGTTCATTCATTTAAATAGGTGTCCCCTCTGTGAAATTTAGTTGCATACTACCCACTGTTGCTGAGGAGATTTCACCCCTCCCATATCCAAGAATCTCCTGAGGAGTCTGCTGATTCTCCAGAGAGGAGGAGGCGTGTTCTGCTCTCTACTTATTCTGCTCCAGCACCAAATCAGTCAGTCAGTCAGTGTCGGAGAGAGAGAGAGACTGAGTGTTAGAGATCGTGTGCAGAGATAAGGTTGCTGCTAAGAGCAGCTGCAGACACTCAGTGCAGTGTAGCATTCATTTATGCTTAGACCTATTAAGCTCTGTATATAGTTGTATAATAGTTGTAGATAGAATAAAGAAGATATTCTACAGAGCTGCTCTCCGAGTTGTTTATATACTCTGCTAGAGTCTGCTGTACTCTGCTGTGCGACGACTGTCTTCTTGTGGAAGTGAATCCAGTGCTCACAACTCTAAGCTGTGAGTCCACAGCACTCTGACCTGTTCCTGTGTAGAAGGTGGTCTCTGGAAGTGCTACCCAGCTCGCCTAGCCCAGTCGGGGCTGAAGTGGATGAGTCCAGTTGGTGGCACTAGCTCAAGGGCGATGCTGACAGTTGCCAGAGTACCTTACATATGGTTCCCAAGTGGGCTGCTTCCAAGCAAGTAAAAGGGCCTGCTTACCTTAAGCAGCTGACCTGTATGATGTGCATGGCTCTGGTCTGTTTTCTGAGCCTTGCATGTCTAGCCATTCTTTTCTCTTCTCTTGAATAAGTTTCCAGGTGCAACAATTCATAGTTCATATCAATAACTACTCCCCAAATTAAACTTAACTGCATGAAAGAAAAGAATTATTGCAGGCTCTATTAACATCAGAAGTGAAGTGCAGAGCTAAGAAAGGATAGCAGCACACTGCTGTCAATGATCTCCAAAGGACAACAAAACCTAAAAGCAGCAAAAAGAATAGCAAACATAACAGGGATGTTGAATAACTCCTTAGCTCCTGCTGAGAAAATAATCACTTCTTACCAAGTCCATCTTCTTACAAAGTGCAAGTGAACACTATGCAGGGCCCAAAGGATAATAAACTTGATTTCTCCTGGAACAAAAGGGGAGGGGAGTTTCCCCCGTCTCTAGAAGACCTTGAATTCCCTGCCTGCAGTTCCAGATGTTTAGCTGATAATTGTTGATGACTTCGCTGATCATAACTGTCAAGTTAAAGCACTTAAGAGGAACAGTCCAATAGCAAAACCATTAGGGAATGCAAGGAAACCACACTGTATGGGGTCTGATTATTTCACTAGTAAAATGTCTGCACCCTTCAAAGCTTGACTCACATGCTCCATAGACTAGGCAGTGGCAAGGCTGCTGGATGGAATAGGAAGATATAGCAAAGGACAAATCACACCACATCCCAGAAGAGGGAGTCAGGACCAATTTGATAGTGACTGGAGCCAGTGCTATTTTATAAAAATAATATGGGTAATGTTACTGAGGCAAATCCAGCAGATTCTCTTTCAGTGGTCTCATCCAGATGGGGTTGTAGCCCCAAGAGAAGGGAGTGCTAGGCATGAATCTGGGCACCATCAAAGGAAGCAAGGCAAAGCCAATCAGAGGTCATGTTTCAATGAGGCAAAACAGTTAGCATCTTGAATAGCTCAGGATGAAGAATCATATTGTCCTGGCTCCCAGTTGTGAAAAAGGTACACAGACTCTTGGCACTATCCTTTAGAAATGCTTTATTCCAGAATTTACCCCAATGTCCAAACATAAGGTAAAGGTAAAGGGACCCCTGACCATTAGGTCCAGTCGTGGCCGACTCTGGGGTTGCGGCGCTCATCTTGCTTTATTGGCCGAGGGAGCCGGCGTACAGCTTCCAGGTCATGTGGCCAGCACGACTAAGCCGCTTCTGGCGAACCAGAAACGCCGTTTAACTTCCTGCCAGAGCGGTACCTATTTATCTACTTGCACTTTGACATGCTTTCGAACTGCTAGGTTGGCAGGAGCAGGGACCGAGCAATGGGAGCTCACCCCATTGCGGGGATTCGAACCCCTTCTGATCGGCAAGCCCTAGGCTCTGTGGTTTAACCCACAGCGCCACCCGCGTCCCTTAAGGTGCACAAATCAGCAGCTGAAACAGAGCTCTACAGTTCATGGCTAGGCATAAGCTAAGATGTTGTCCCAACACTTGACTAGCATCCTGAGCATCTCTTCTGAAGAGAAGGACAGGACACCTCATTCACGTGGGTACCATCCTGAGACATATGTCTGGACAAGCAAGCAAGCAGGCACTTTTGTGAGTAGCTCATGCTGGTGCAACCAATGTTGTCCCCTTGGAAATGAAGGTGGGATTGAGACTGCTTGTTCACTGTCCAATCTAGGCTCCTGCATCTCCTCTAAATCGACGAGTACTTCACTGCTGAGAGGCAGCACTGGGTCTGAGTAAAGCATTTCTCCTTTGATGCTTAGGGTGTTCAGTGATTCTGAGGGAGGGCTCAGCACCTTCTCAGTATTAAGATCAACATGCTATAACCCACTGGACTACTCCCCAGGACCAGTTTCACACTATTACCCAATCTCCCTCCCCATCTGACCAGCATTGCCACGACATCTCTATGGGGCTCATCATGACACATATGAGCAGAATGTTGCTTCAATAACAAACAGGCCCAGACTGACCTTTAAAGAGAAGCTAGGTTCCATCTGGGTGGCTGGTTCCACATCCAGCCAGAGCAGCCTCTCAGTGAAAGGAACAGTTTGTTCACAAAGTTCTAACGAGGACCACCTGATGACCCATTTCTAGTGCCTTTATTGAAGGAAAAATCTTCTGTTGCTCAACAGCTGCAGTACTCACAGACAGAGGATATGGTGTGATATTTTGACGTCCTGTCCATTCTTCCATGCCTTATAGAAATGGAGGTATATATGGCAAAAATATCAGTGCATATTCAGGAAATGTAATAGGCACATGCAGTGTGAACTGGATCTATCAAAACTCAAACCAGGTTGGAGGGACTTTCCTTCAACAACAATCTTTTTTTTTTTTTTTAATCAGTTTAAAAATCTTATTTCTCTAGGCTAGGGATAGGGAACCTCTGGCCAACAGGGTGGACACAGCCTGCAAAGGATCTCACAAAGGCAATCTTCTCCTTGGCCTTCTCACTTTCTCACTTCTTTGCCTCCCCAGGTCACGCTGCAAATTGCAGAGGAGGAGCCAATCTAAATAGTGGCCATGAGTCCCTAATTAGAAATGGAGCCATGTCATGTCATCCTGGGGGCTTTGACCCTTTGCTGATCCTGATGGGTTTCAGAACACCTGCAATTTGCTGTGGGGACAGGGAGATTCAGTTTGCTCCAATGGGTATTTTCTTTTACTGATGTATATTGCAGGCACAGTGGACCAATCCAAATGACTACTGTAGCAGTAGTCTGTGACTACTGTAGTTTCAGTTTTGATTGAGAACAGTGTACCTAAAATTTGTGTGTGGGGGGGAGGAATCCCACTATGATTCCAGAGAGATAAATAGGTATTTATTGCAAAATGTCAAGCAATATGTGGTACAAAATTGATATATTTTGTGTCATATGAATATATGGTTATTTTACCACAAATTGGTTAAATCATTTTTCTTTTATGCCCTTGAATTTTTTCAGACTAAAGCATTTCTTCTTGATGAAAGGGCTGTAGTGCATACAGCCTGATCTTATGCTCTTACTCACAATATTTGTTGATATTGGGAAATTCATGCCATGGGAAATTCTATTTTCCCAATCACATCAATGGCCCATAGATTAGAGACGGTGCAGTTACTACCACTACTATCTATGAATCTTTGGGAAAGGGTGGTAGCTCATTGGCAGAGCATCTGCTTTCCATGTAGATGGTCCCAGGTTCAATCCCTAGCATCTCCAGGTAGAACTGAGAACATTCCCACAATAAAGACATGGAAAGCTGCTGAGGACAATACAGAGCTGCCCTGACCAATAGCCTGACTCCTATGTAGTAGCCTGCACAGTCCTACCAACTGTTCCTGTTCCTATGTCATTCCAGATTTTTTAAATTATTATTTCAGTAGCAATGAGGAAAGACACAAAGTCCATGTTGGGAATCTGTATCCCTCCAGATAATGTTGGGACACTTACTCTCATAAGAATTCAGTGGCCAGGTTGCTCACCAGAGCAAGACGGTCTGAGCATATTACACTGATCCTGGTCCAACTGCACTGGCTACTGATTAGTTTCCGGGCCCAATTCAAATTGCTGGTTTTGACCTATAAAGCTTTAAACAGCTCAGGATTGCAATACCTCAAGGACTGCCTCTTTCCATATGAACCTACCCTGAGATCATCTTCTGAGGCCCTCCTTCATGTGCCACCTCCTTGAGAAGGGTGGCAACATGAGAACGGGCCTTGTCTCCAGTGGCTCCCTGTCTGTGGAATGCTCTCCCCAGGGAAGTTTGCCTGGCACCTTCATTATACACCTTTAGGCACCAGGCAAAAACGTTCCTTTTTAACCAGGCCTTTGGTTGACCTGATCAACATCCAATACCCTTTTAAAATGTGGGTCTTTTTTGGAGGGGGTATTATTGGGTTATTGTTTTTATTTTAATTTAAAATACTGTGATCTTTTTATGCAAACCCCCCTGAGACCTTTGGGTTTGGGTGGTATATAAATTCAATGAAGAAGAAGAAGAAGTCAAGTCAATATGGCCAATAGCCAGATGATTATAGGCCTCAAGGCCACAACATCCGGAGATTCCATGCCTTCACTAAATAGTTCAAGGAAGACGGAAGGTCAGTGACTATATCTGTGCAGATGTGTATTGTTCTGATGACTTCATTGCGCTTGAAAATGAAGATGTATCCTCAGACAAAATTAAGTAGCATTGAGGATTTCTTCTTCTTTTTACTTCTACATATTTTTGAATACTTTTCTTATATTAGGCACAAGTCACTGTAATATGAGACGTTGTTAGGTTGGGAGAAATCTTTAGAGACTAAGATAAAAGGAAAACAAGCTTTTGTTCCAAAATATTTCTCAAAGTGACCTTAGAATGGTATGAATATATTTCTTTACAGTAACAAGTAAGAAATGATACCTTTGTAGTTTAGATTTGGCATCATGGCCTCAGGGAGTTGCTAGCTGTCTCTTATGTTAGGAAATGCTTCGGAAATCCACAGTGCACAGTTCCTAGCTTAAATTTTTAACACGAGGCTTTTAGTTCTTAGCTTATGCTCTTAACTACTATACCATACTGGCTCCCGAAATATCAAACCCTCCCTGCCTCAACAAGAAATTGCTGGGTTACTAGCCACATCCCCCTCCTTTGGGAAGGAGGGCAGGACATAAATTTGACAAAATGATTCTATAAAAAAATAAAACAAGAATCTTTGGAAATTCTGTTCACTATTCAAAGACCCCAGGTTTTCTACAAGAGCACCTTCAGCTAAAAGGTACTTCACTTTTATACTGTCTGCACATTTCAGTGCTGATTTTGCAGAAGTTTACTGCTGGGATAAATTCAGGCTGTTGTGATAGTGTAGATGCAAATAAGTTACATTACTTGGAATAGCCACAGGAGTAGGGAGCAGCAGGCTTGTTACAAGCAACACCTGCAGCACCTTTTGCTCTTGATATCCAGTCACTGCTTCCCAGACAGGTTGAGAGAATAAAAAAGGGGGAAAGGTCAGTGCCAGAGGAGTAAGAGAGCACTGTGGACAAGCAGGTGAGTAGCAAGACCTGGGTCCGGTTTCCAGCGACAAGTGCAAAGGGATGGTGGGCTGCCATCCAACTCTGGCAGTGGTGACACCAGAGGGGATATACCCTTTGGGCTGTCATGAGGCAGGGGACATATGTTTGTGGTAGACAGCCTTAATGAAAGAAGGTGGATCAGAAGGAGAATCTAGAACTGCATTTGGGTTCTGAGTGGCAGACAGGACCTGGTTGCAGGTGGGAATTTTTCCCTGGGTGAGATGCGGGGTTGTTTGGAGTGAAGATGAGGCTGTAAAACCCCTCTAGGTGTTTCATGGGCAACTGCACTCTTTGCACTCTGAACACATTATGCTGCTGCTCTAACGTCATTTTATCTCTCGCATCACCTCCCAGGGCCAACCCAAGTCATTTTGGCACCATTTTCTTGATAGCTGGCTGATACAGCCCAAACAAATATGGGTGAAAGTAGATGACAGTCACATAGAGCCAAATTAATGGTGTCTATGATGACAACTCTGCAAAACCATCCCTGTCCCTGTCCTAGACCAATATGAGTTTCTAGATGTTTACTGCCTAAATTTTGCTAAATGTTTTTTGTTCACTACATTCATATGTGATTCTGTTACTATTATATTATAGTGATGCTCTGACTATTCTGATGGGTTTGTTAGTTTCTTCTACTTTTGCTGTCTTTCCTTCTTCTAAAATGTAAATAAAAAATAAAAGCCATCTCTATACATTTTGCTTTTAATCACAGTCTCTATATAATAAAATAATTTAATCACCATGCAGTTCATTCCCAAGATTCACACTAATTTGCCTTGCTCCTAAATAGAGCTCTGGTTGGAATATGCTTTTGAAAGAAGAATATCACCAAAAGAATCTTTAGGGTATAGGGGTTTTTAATTTTTTATTTAAAAAAAGCTGAACTGTGGGAAGTGGAGCAGATGGTCACTATCTGGAAATTTTATTTGTTAGATATAGCCCATCTGGTTTTCTCCTTGATTGCAAGGTTAGCTTGCAGTACTATCAATGTTCTGAAAGGCTAGTCAATAGAATCCTACAGATCTGGTCTAATTTAATATTTATTATTTTTGCAACTGTTGGGCTTCTGGCAAAAGCCTATAAAGCTTTGTTGATGTGTTGATTAAGCCTCATCGTTCTTAGATCCAATGCATGCAAAAAGCTAAGAGACATAACAGTGTAAATTTAGTAGTCACTAGCTCCCTCCATTAATCAGTTCCAGCAATTCTGGCAGCCATCCTCCTGTAACAGACGCAGTAGTTAAATGAAGGTGGTAAAGGCTATTTTTAAAAGCATTTTTTTTTTAACTGAAAGCATCAAATGTCACCCTAAGCTGGTTCTGGTTTCTCTTGGCTGCATCAGACTGTGAAAATCAGGAGGGGTTCTTTAGCAAACATCTGATCATCTGAGAACGTAGTTATTAAAGCTCTCTTAAAGGCCCAAACTAGATGTGACGTTAATTGTGTTAATGGAATTAATGGTGGGGAGGAAAACTGCTTCTCTCCTCCAAGTTGTTATCTGCATCAAGAGGGAAGCCTTCATTGGCATCAGTGAAGGCTTCATTTCTTAGCAAAAGTGACTGAACAAAACAGACTGGATCCAGAAAGCAAAGAGCTTGGCAAAGTGAGTTATAAGCAGGTAGGCTGAACAAAACAGTAAGGTTGCTGTAAACAGGGGCTCATCCACACCTCAGCTTAATATTGAATATGCACACCATTTGTGTCCTTCAATTTACTCTTGTCCATACAGCTGCTGTCCCAAACTTTATCCCTGCTAAATCCAAGGTCTCCCTACCTTTTGAAAATCCCAAAAGGATATCTGCTCTTCTTTCAAAGCACCCCTGCCAGTTTTCCATGAATGCGCTTGTCAAATTTTTGGGGTTTGGTTTTATGTGGGTATTTTGGATGTGGAGCAGTTTCTGCAGAGGCTGGAACAGCAAAGAGTAGAAAACGGAGAGAATGGATGTGGGAACTTTGGGTTAAAACCATACCTAATATAAGCCGCAAAGGTATGGGGACAAATTGATTGTTATTTGTGGATTTTGTGGGCATCTCTGGATGGGACCTAACAGTGTACAGAGTCCACTGATTCAACAACTAGTCAGCAGATCTGACCAGATTCCAAGAGAATGAAACTATCACCACAACTAGAACACACTGAGCATGCTAACCTTTCTATACACAAGAAACCCAGGGTGAAGGAAACTTCTTTGGCTCCATCTGGTTATTAAGGAATATTCCCCCAGTTTCAAGGCCTCTTTAGATGCATCCAGAGTTGTTAGTTGTCGCTGCGCCCAGTGCGGCCCCTGCACTACTAGCTGCTTTAAAACTCTGGCACAAATTCAGCTTACACTTTTCAGTGTGATCCCTTGCCATTGCTTTTCCGACACCTTCCATATTTGAACAACAGCTAGAGGATTTTCAACTGGATCAAGGTGTGAAGGATCCTGAATGGGTTAAACTTTCCCTCTCCATCTCCTGTACTTTTCAGGCTCTTTTCAGGCTCTCTCACAATTTCTATTTCCATAAATGTGTGGGGGACGGGGGACACATGCATCTTAATTGTACTCACACAATAAACATCACAGTTGCATTGACCCTCTAAAGGGATCTGTATTTGTGCAAATGAAATACAAATACATATATCTGACCATAAATCCAGGGAAGGGTGAACCACATGACATGTAGTTTGACGTGCACCATTCTGCCAGGGAAAGCGCAAAAGATGAGCTAGTAGTTGATCCTCTTGTGCCATCCTAGGGCTCAGGAGCTGGGAAGAATGACGCAATCCTGCACTGCTGCTCTAAAACAAATCCCCACTTAAAGTAATTTGCAAGTAATTTGTTTCTCCTTTGCCCTCTAAGGTAAGCCTAATGGGAACCATAAAACACGGACATCTAGTAGGTGGGGTTGGGTGTAGAGTAGCAGAGTAGTGAGCTTATTATAACATGTGGCTCCAGGGTTATGGGCATGAATGTTATGTGCAAAGAATATGGAGGAAAAATAGAAACGAAGAGGAGAGGGAGCCAAGAAAGGAGATCATTTGTATGCTGGAGAGCTATTTCGAGTTGGTCAGATGGTGGCCTCTGTACCCTCTGCTTCTCTTTTTGCACACAGGCACAGGCACACTAATACAGTAGCACTACCTTACTTTTCCACAATGCTTTCCTAATGAAG